AATAATAAATAAATAAATAAATCTCAGAATCTCCTCAAGTGATTCTGTGAGGTAAAGACAGTTATTCCCAGTGTACTGCTGAGGAAATCAAGGCACAGAGAGATTTGTCCAAGGCATCAAAGCAAGGAAGCATCAGAGCCTGGAGCTGAACTCAAGCAGGCTGTCTGTGAAGCTGATCACAGTTAGGGGACCATTACTGCTCTCTACCCCACCCAGGACCCTATGCCCCACGTTCCATTCCAGCACACACCTGCTAAGTAGACGGAGACCCCGCAGCAGAAAAGGCCAAGGGCCACGTGTCTGAGGAGGCGGCAGTCGTAGAGAAACCAGTCAGACCTGGGATGGAGGGGAGCAGGAAGAAAAAGGGCTCAGGAAGTGGAGCTGATGGGGGAGGTCAGTAAGGAGAGGGAGGGAGAGCTGCTTAAATGAGACAAGGACCCAGCTTTCAGGGACCAAAAATCTGGAGTACCTAACTATCATCCTTCTACTTGCCCACACATTTACATTCATTTACTTATCCACTCTCCATCCATCCATCCATTCATCCATCCATCCATCCACCCACCCATTTATCCACCCATTTATCCATCCACCCATTTATCCACCCATTCATCCATCTGTCTACTCATCCATCCATCCATCCACCCACCCATCCATTCATCTGCCCATTCATCCATCCATCCTTCCATTCATCCATCAGATCATCCATCCACCAGCGCATCCATCCATCCACCCACCCACCCATCCATTTATCCATCCATCCATTTATCCACCCATTCATCCATCTGTCTACTCATCATCCATCCACCCACCCATCCATTCATCTGCCCATTCATCCATCAGCTCATCCATCCACCAGCGCATCCATCCATCCACCCACCCACCCACCCATTTATCCATCCATCCATTTATCCACCCATTCATCCATCTGTCTACTCATCATCCATCCACCCACCCATCCATTCATCTGCTCATTCACCCATCCATTCACTTATTCATCCATCCATCCACTTGTCCATCAGCCCAGTCGCCCATCTACTCATTCATCCATCCATCCACTTATCAGTTCATTCATACATCAATTTATCCATCTCCATCCATCAGCCCCATCCATTCATTGAGCCACACAATTATTTAGACACCCACCATCCACCCATTCGATATCTATCCATTTATCTATGCTCCACCCATCCCCCGTTCATTTTTCCAAGTCAGTGTCCACCATCCATTTTTCATCCATATTCATTGATTATGCAACCAGCACTCATATACACTCTTCCATCTATTTAACCGTGCGCTATTAATCCATCTACCCATTCATTCCAACACCCTCCACTATCCTATCTGTCCATCCCTCACCCACCCATCCACTGATCATCCATCTCCCATTCGCTATCCATCCATCCTCATCCCTTCCTTCCTTCCTTCCTTCTTCCCACCTACCTTCCTTCCTTCCCTCCCTCCCTCCTTCCTTCTTTCCTTCCTTCCTTCCTTCCACCATCCATTCTCTTCCCCTTATAATCCACCTATATACATGAGTCCACTCAAACACCCAGCACTTGGGAAGCAGCTACTACGTGCAGATACTTGCTGCACACCATTATTTTACAGACCACAGGCTTCCTTGAGAGATGAGGAAACAGTTTCACGTGCTATTATTGACGGTACAAACAGCGACTCCAAGAGATGACACTGATTGAGGAGGAAATGGAGACTCTGAGAGCTTCCATCCTCACTCGGCTCCCATCAGTATAATGAAAGTGGATGCCTTCCCGGTCTTCCTGCTGCCTTCCCTCCTGTCCCCTTTTCAGCACAGTGGCTAGAGGTGGTCATTCGAAACCTAAATCAGATCACCTTCCTCCTCACTCACAACCCTCCTAAGCAGGAGAAATCCCGAAGTCCTGTCCCATCTCTGTTTTCTTTTCTTCCTGACGCTCATCACGATCTGCCATTATTATTATTATTAGAGATGGGGTCTCACTATGTTGCCCAAACTGAAGTCCAGTGGTTATTCATAAGCATGATCATGGCTCACTGCAGCCTTGACTTCCTGGGTTCAAGAAATCCTGCCTCAGCCTCCCAAATATATGGGACTACAGGCATGCACCACTACACCCAGCTAATTACACTTTTTTCTTTTTCTTTTTCTTTTTTGGAGACGAAGTTTCAATCTTGTTGCCCAGGCTGGAGTGCAATGGTGCGATCTCAGCTCACCGAAATCTCCACCCCTCCACTCCCAGGTTCAAGAGATTCTCCTGCCTCAGCCTTCTGAGTAGCTGGAATTACAGGCATGCACCACCATGCCCGGGTTTTTTTAATTTTAATTTTTATTTTTAGTAGAGATGGGGTTTCTCCATGTTGGTCAGGGTGGTATTGAACTCCAGACTTCAGGTGGATTCGCCTGCCTCAGCCTCCCAACGTTCTGGGATTACAGGCGTGAGCCACTGTGCCCGGCCATTAAATTTTTTTCTTTTTGTAGAGATAAGGTCTTGCTATATTACCCAGGCTGGTCTCAAATTCCTGGCCTCCCAGCACTTTGGGAGGCCATGGAGAGTGGATCATTTGAGGTCAGGAGTTCAAGACCACCTGGCCAATATGAGTTGGGAGAATCGCTTGAACCTGGGAGGCAGAGGTTGCAGTGAGCCGATACAGCACCATTGCATTCCAGGCTGTCTCAAAAAAAAAAAAAAAAGAAAAAAAGGTATTCCTGGCCTCAAGTGATCCTCCTGCCTCTGCCTCCCAAAGTGCTGGGAATGCAGGTGTGAACCACCACGCCTGGACCCTGTTGTTTCCTTATTTTCTGTGACTCCATGAGAGCAGATCTGGATGCACTTGTTCCCTGCTGTGTCTCTGATGCCCTGAGCCAGACCCAGCCCCTGCAGGCAGGCACCCAACACACATTTGCTGACCCGGGACCATGTATTTATTTCATTGTCCCTTGGGTGGAAGCTGTGTGGTCTGGACAAATCTACCCCAATGGTGGAAGTTATCTGCTCAATTTCACAGAATTCTGGACCAGTATTTGGGCTCCTCTCTCCCGGCATTACACTACCACGTGGGACAGCAGAGTCCTGGGCTCAAAGAGGGTTCCTCCTTCCACAACTACTGCCCCTGAGAGAGTCCCCTCAATGACCACATCCCTGAGTTCAGGTCCCTGAGAAAGGACCTCAATTCCAGGCCAGGACACAGGCTCCGGATGGCTCTACCCAGAACCAAGTTCAAGTCCAGCACTCCCCCGCCCCCCCCCCACCCACTTCCAAGCCAGACGGCCTGAGAGCTCAGCCTCCCCTGTTTGAGATTCAGGCAAACTGATCCTGGGCCCTCTGTGAGCCTCAGTTTCCTCATCTGCAAAACGGGGGACACATCAGTGGCTGCACCCGCTGCAAAATTTAACAAATATAGAATGGAGAGGGGGGAGGGGGAGGAAAAGAGGAGGGCGGAGATGCATGGGGTGGCGGGGGCAGGGGGGAAGGGAAGTGGGGAGGGAAGCTGTCCCCCCAGCCTGAGGCCAAAAGAGGGGAAGAGGCTCATCCAGGCTCCCCCAGCCCCCAGCCGAGCCTCTAGGGCGGTGAGGCCGGTCCTCCTACCTCCTGGGGCCAGGCCCCCGCGCCAGCTCGGCGCCCAGGTGGCCGCAGAGTGCGGCGAGCAGCAGGCAGGTGAACGCCAGCACGAGCACCAGCGCGGCCAGCGCGGCGGCCAGAGGCAGCAGCGCCCCGGCCGCGTCCTCGGGCAGCCCGGGGCCGGCGCCCAGCTCCCGGCCCAGCCCGTCGGCGCGCAGCCCCCGCAGCTCCGCGCGGCCCGCCTGGAGCTGGAACAGCAGCTGCGCGCTCAGCGCCGCCAGCACGGCCGCCGCGATGCCCAGCAGAGTCACCGCGGCCAGCACCCGGCCGCCGTACGAGCGGGCCATGGCGGGGCTCCTGCGGGCCCGGGGAGCAGGTGAGGGATCCAAGTGGTTTTAAGGGGCAGGGGAGTTGGGGGGAGTCCAAGGGCCCCCGGGGGGTCCCCGAGGGGCGGGGCCGCAGGGAGTGTATGCAAGTTCGGGGGCTGGGCTGGGGGTCGCCGGACGGACGTGGGCTCCGGGGTGCTGGTCGCAGCGGGGACGCCGAATCTCCGCGAAAACTTGGGACAAAGTCTTTTCTCTTCCCTCCCGGGGCCCCGCGGGCGCCCCCTCTGGATCGGCTGGGCCTGGCAGGCGGGGCCTGGCGCGGGGCTCGGGGCTCGGGGCGGGGCCCCACGAGGGGCTGGATCGTGGGAACCCCGTGGCTCTCTAAGTTCGGAAAGGGACACCACCCCGCCCCCTGCCGCCATAAGTATCGATTTTATTGTTGTTAAAACAAGAAAGAGAAAGGGGCCGGGCGCGGTGGCTCACGCCTGTAATTCCAGCACTTTGGGAGGCTGAGGCTGACGGATCACTTGAGGTCGGGAGTTCGAGACCAGCCTGGCCAACCTGGTGAAACCGCGTCTCTACTGAAAAAGCAAACCAAAAAAGTCAAAAAAAATTATATTGGGAGGATTGATTGCTTGAACCCAGAGACGGAGGTTGCAGTGAGCTGAGATTGTGCCACCACACGCTCCAGCCTGGGTGACAGAGTGAGACTCCATCTAGAAAAGCGAGCGAGAGAGAAAGGGCTAGGTGAGGTGGCTCACACCTGTAATTCCAGCACTTTGGGAGGCTGAGGCAGGAGGATGGCTTGAGCCCAGGAGTTTGAGACCAGCCTGGGCAACATAGCCAGACCCCATCTCTACAAAAAATAAGGAAGTTAGCCTGGTATGGTGGGGTGCACCTGTGGACCCAGCTACTTTCGAGGCTGAGCCAGGAGGATGGCTTGAGCTCAGGAGGTCGAGGCTGCCGTGAGCTGAGATCATGCCACTGCACTCCAGCCTGGGCGATAGAGCAAGGCTGTGTCTCAGAAAAGAAATAACAAAATTGAAAAATTCACTTTGTCATTTGATCTCAACCCAGGGACTCTGTCATTGACTACCATTTCCCCTCCGCTTACCTCCTTTCCTCCAGGAGGCTAGGGAGAGTCCTGGTTCCCTTCCCCAAATTATTCCCACAGCACTTTAAACAAATTGAGAAACAGAAAATTAACCATTTTATTCAGTGGCATTTAGAGTTGTACAAGCATCACCTCTGTCTAGTTCTAGAACATTTTCATACCCCTAAAAGGAGACCCCGTCCCCATTAGCGGTCACTCCCCATCCCCCATCCTCAAATAGCTGACAACCATTAATCTACTTCCTGTCTCTGTGGATTTCCCCGCTCTGGATATTTCATAGCAATGGACTTGTACAAGAAGTGGCATTCTGCTTCTGGTTTCTCTCACTCAGCATCATATACTCAAGGTTCATCCAGGTTGTAGCATGGATCAGTGCCTCATTCCTTTTTACAGCTGCATAATATTCCGCAGTGTGTCAGGAACACATTGTGTCCATCCATTCATCCATTGATGGGTATTTGGTTGTTGCTTCCTTTTGGCGAAGGTGAGTAATGCTGCTATCAACATTTGTGCACAGGTATCTTCTTGAGTCACTGCCGTTCATTCTTGTGGGGAGTGGACTCCTGGGAGTGGAGCTGCTGAGTCACATGATTACTCGAATTTAACTATTTGTGAAACCCTCAAACTTTTCCACAGCAGCTGCACCCGTTTTCCATTTCCACCAGCAATGTCTGAGGTTTTTAAAAATAAGTTTCTCCACATCCTCGCCAACACGTGTTTCCTCCTGCCCTCCTCCTCCTCCTCCTCATTCTTCTTCTTCTTCTTTTGTCAGGGCCTTGCTCTGTCACCCGGGCTGGATTTCGAATTGCAGTGGTGTGATCATAGCTCATTACAGCCTCGACCTCCTCAGCTCACGTGATCTTCCTGCCTCAGCCTCCCAAGCAGCTGGGACTACAGGCAAGCATCACCATGCCTGGCTAAAATTATTATTATTTTTTTTGAGGAGGAGTCTCACTCTGTTGCTAGGCTGGAGTGCAGTGGCCTGATGTTGGCTCACTGCAACCTCCACCTCCCGGGTTCAAGCAATTCCACTGCCTCTGCCTCCCTGGTAGCCAAGACTACAGGCATGTGCCACTGCGCCCGGTTAACTTTTTGTATTTTAGTAGAGATGGGGTTTCACCATGTTGGCCAGGATGGTCTCGATCTCCTGACCTTGTGATCTGCCTGCCTCAGCCTCCCAAAGTGCTGGGATTACAGGCGACCACGCCCAGCTGCTTTTTGTAGAGATGGGGTCTTGCTACGTTGGTCTGGTCTCAAACTCTTTATACCTAAGTGATTCTCTCACCTCAGCCT